AAAAAAAAAAAAAAAAAAAAAAAAAAAAAAAAAAAAAGGTTCAACGAAACCATGTATTTACAAATGAACCCACAAGTCAGTCAAACGAGTCTCTCCTCATGTTCCGTCTACGACTTCAATTCATCTAAATGTTATGTTAATATAGTAGTAAAATGACGCTTCATTTCCACCTTCATATCATATGGTTTTTGGAAGATTTCAAGTCAAAGCTTTTCGAAAATGGCGCTTTTCCATTTAGCCACGGCCATATGTGCAGTTGTCCATTTCATCTCCTTCCCAAAATCCTCCGTCGCAACCGATACACTTTCCCCGGACCAAACCCTTTCCCTTGGCCACACTTTGATTTCTCAAAACCAAATTTTCGAGCTCGGCTTTTTCACTCCTGGAAAATCCACCAACAGATTCCTGGGGATATGGTACAAAAGCACGCCAGATGTTTGCGTTTGGGTCGCAAACAGGAACAGCCCCATCGCGGGCTCTGAAAACAACGTATTCTTAACCCTCGCCGGAAATGGAACTTTGCTTATCAGCCAAGCCGGAAACATTATCTGGTCGCCGAACCCATCAGCCGTTGCTTCAAACCCTCTTTTGCAGCTCCTCAATACTGGAAACCTGGTTCTTCTAGAAGCTTCCTCACGCAGCCACATCTGGCAGAGCTTTGACCACCCCACCGACACCCGGCTTCCGGGAATGAAGTTGGTAGACGATGGCGACAAGTACCTGACGTCATGGAGAAATCCGGAGGATCCTTCTCCTGGAGAATACATTTACAGAATCGAAACCCATGGCTTGTCTGAGATGGTGGTTTACAGAGGGAAAGTGAAAACGTTCCGCACTGGGAAGTGGAACGGCCTCTACTTTTCCGGGGTCTTGCCATTTCCTAATCACGTATTCAATCCCGAACTGGTCTTCGTCCAACAGAGGCTTATATCTGTTGTCGAGCCATATGATAGCTCGGTTTTCACCAGGGTAACACTGGACACATCTGGTGTGATCCAGCGCCTGACCATGAATTCCAGAAAAGATAAGTGGAATCCAGTTGTATCGGCTCCTTTGGACCCTTGCGACGAGTACGGTCAGTGTGGGCCTAATGGTTTCTGCAGGATTGATAAGCCGATAAGGTGTGAATGTTTCAAGGGTTTTTCCCCAAAGTTCTCAAAAGAATGGGACCATCAGGATTGGTCTGGTGGGTGCACCATAGATAAGCCGTTGAGTTGTGAAGGTGGGGATGGTTTTCTGGAGGTTAAAAAGGTGAAGTATCCTGACATGTTGAGTTTTCAATTGAATACGAGCATGGGCTTGGGAGATTGTAGAAGTGAGTGCTTGAGAAACTGTAATTGCACAGCTTATGCCAGTCCGTACTTAGATAATGGAGGGTATGGCTGCTTGATGTGGTTTGGGGATCTCATTGATGTGAGAGAATACCCTCCGGCTGATGCCAAACAAAATATCTATATTCGGTTGCGGGCTTCAGAAGTAGGTGAGTTTTTTTGTGAAAACTTTAGGTCACTTGTCGTACACAATCCTTCAACTCAATGCGTGAACTATGTTCTTCGTGTAAAGTGTAAACCACTTAAATCGTAGTCTGGAACTATACTATTGCTGTCTCTGATACATAAGTTGAACCTATACTTTGTTGAACACTTTGAATACACGGGGTTTCTGGTTTTTTTCCTTTGGAGTAGCATATTATTTCCCAAGCTAGCTATCCTTGCAGGATAAATTGTGCTTTATTTTTTGTTTCAACCTCAAACCATGGGGCAACAATAAAAATGGGACGCACCCACCTTCTGTTTTAGATTCTAGTTGGATTATATTGACATAGAGCACAAGTTGGCTTATAAATGACAGAATTGGCTATACGATATTTCTTTTCCAAAACCTGTCCGTATTGTTTCAACTTTCAAGTGTTTGCAAATATTCTCTTAATAGCAAAGAGATGTGAGAGTGGAAGGGAGAGGTGAGAGCGAATGCTTACATTCCTTATCCTTATTAATAAGGTGGTTTTCCTTGTAGATTATGGATCTAGCTGGGAGCAGGTGCGGAAGGAGAAGGACAAGGAGAAGGAGAAGGCAATGCCTACAAAGATAATACTAATATCAATGGCTTTTGGAGTTTTTGTCTCTTGGTTTATTAATGGAGGTATACTTTTAATGGCACGAATAAAGGGACAAGGTAAGACGTATCCAGTACATATCTCTCATAAATTTTGTATTCAACTGATGGCATTTACTTGTGGCAAGCACTAATGTTTTTCTTTTTCTTCTACTCAGTTGGAAACAAAAATGAAAACGAATTGGAATTACCTTTATTCAAGTTGGAAACAATTATAACTGCAACAAACAATTTTTCTATAGAAAACAAGGTTGGAGAAGGAGGATTTGGTCCTGTTTACATGGTAAATGTACTATGACATGATTTTGACTGAGATAAGTTAAAAGCAACTTCTTTTGTCTGTCATTTTTCTTTACCTTAATATGGATATGCAGGGGAACCTGTCACGAGAGGAAAAAATAGCTGTTAAAAGATTGTCGAATACTTCTAGTCAGGGGCTTGAAGAGTTCAAAAATGAAGTTATCTTGATCGCTAAACTTCAACACAAAAACCTCGTTAGACTTTTGGGGTGTTGCATTGAAAGAGACGAAAGGATGCTAATCTATGAATATCTGCAGAATAGAAGCCTGGATTATTTCATATTTGGTACGAAGCTTTTATTCCTTGTTCATAGGGTTCCGTAACTTCATTGTCGCTTAGTTTCATTGAGATCAATCAAATGCAGACTGGAATCGAAGGAAACTTCTGACATGGCCTAAGCGGTTTGATATTATCATCGGAATAGCAAGGGGACTGCTTTATCTTCATCATGATTCCAGATTAAAGGTTATCCATCGAGATCTCAAAACGAGCAATATTTTACTGGACGGAAGTTTTAGTTCGAAAATTTCAGATTTTGGCATCGCAAGAAGTTTTGGGGAGGATCAGTTACTTGCTAAAACAAAAAGAGTTGTTGGAACCTAGTAAAGTTTTCTTGTTAAATTCGAAAATTCATTTTTCTAGTTTCACATAGAATCTTGTATAACCTATCTATAATTTTTATTACAGTGGATATATGGCCCCGGAGTACGCATTTGATGGAAAATTCTCTGTGAAGTCTGACGTCTTTAGCCTTGGAGTGGTGTTGTTAGAGATTGTTAGTGGAAAAAAGAACAGGGCTATCGATGGTGATCATTATTATAGTCTTTTGGGTCATGTATGTTTTATACCTTAATTCTACAACATGTCTTTGCTGATAATTTCAACTGTAAAATAATTTTGAGAAAACTGGCAACTTTATGGTGGCAATTGTGACAGGCATGGTTGCTATGGAAAGAAGACAGGAGCCTGGAGCTAATGGATGAAAGTTTGAATGATACATGTATTGAAACTGAAGTGAAGAGATGCATACAAGTCGGGTTGTTATGCGTTCAGAAATTTGCAGAAGATAGGCCAACAATGTCGTCTGTGATTTTCATGTTATCAACTGATGGTACAATTTTGCCTGAACCCAATGAGCCTGGGTTTTTTATCCATCCAAGTTCGAGTCCTGTAAGAAATTGCACACCGCCATGTGCGATATCCACGAGAATGACAATGACCATCACCGATTTGGAGGCTAGATGAGGAGGCTTCATCATAATGTTGTTTCATTTTCTTTCTTAGCTCTGTATTCGGTTGCTGGATAGTATAAAGTTGGGAACATCTGTAAAATCAAAATCCACTACTAAAACATGAACGTAGAAGTGTACTGTTCTACTTGTGCTCCTTTATTTGTGATGTAGAGCGTGGTAGACAAAAGGGAAAAGAAGAGATGAACTCTCGTAAATTTACCAGTGAACGACACCAAATCCGAACCGGTCTCGTCTCCCTCAAAATTATCACCAGCGAACGACACCAAATGCTTGACGTTAAAAACGTCATAAGTGCGAATATGTGACGGAAGGTGGAGACGATAAGCATTGGGATTGATTTTTTCGACCACCTCAACCGGACCAATCTTCCGGGCAGACAACTTGTTGTACTCATGGGCAGTGAACCTGTCCTTCGTCAAAATTGCCCAAACAAAGTCGCCTACCTCAAACTCGGCATGACGATGTCGAGTGTCCGCCTGTTTCTTATAAGAGGCCGTCGTTGCCTCCAACCGATCACGAGCCACCGCGTAGACCCGCTACAAGTCCGAAATGAGGTCTGAGGCACGCGATCAATCGCCACGGACTACGGTAAAGTCACCAGGTCCGACGGGCCGCGTGGACGCACAACATATACTACCTGCAAAGGCGAGAACCTCGTGGCCCGACTGACGGCATAGTTGTGAGTGAACTCAGCCTGGCTCAAGCGTTGGTCCCAGCTCCGAGGTTGTCACCGACCAGACAACGAAGCAGATTGCCCAATGAACGATTGACCACCTCTGTCTGGTCGACCGTCTGAGGATGGTAAGCCCTGCTGAATTCAAGACGAGTGTTTGCCATGCGCCACAAACTCTTCCAAAAGTAACTCAGAAACCAAGTGTCGCGGTCAGAGACAATAGCGGATGGAAGGCCATGCAGGCGATAAACCTCACGAAAAAACAACTGAGCTACGTGAACGACATCGGTGGTACGTTTGCACGGGATGAAGTGCACCATCTTTGAGAAACGATCCACCACCACGAAAATGGAATCAAAACCCCACAGCGTACGTGGCAAGCCCAACACAAAATCCATACTAATCGCATGCCTCGGCTGGGACGGGATCGGCAGGGGACGGTACAAGCCAGCATTAGTCGCAACCCCCTTGGATACCACGCAAGTTCGACATCGTCCCACAAATCGCGCGACGTCACGACGTAAGGACGGCAAAAAATACGAACGACTCACCAACTTGGCCGACCGGTCACGACCCACATTTCCCGCCCCATGAAGGTCGGCAATGAGTCGTTGTCGCAGGCTGCAATCAGGAATGAAAAGGAGCACACCACGGAAAAGAAAACCCTCCGCCAGGGTATAGTCCTCGAAAGGACCATGTGCGAGCTCACGCACGATCCGGCCAAAGAAAGGGTCATCAATATACGTCTCCCGTAAAACATTTAAGCCCACCACGGAAACATGCATGTCAGTCAAAAGAAGCACCCGACGGCTCAAAGCATCTGCTACTCTATTTGAAGCACCAGAGCGATGCTTCAAAACAAACGTGAACTGCTGTAAGAAAGCCGCCCAAGAAGCATGGCGCGTGGAGATGTGATCCTGGGAGGCCAAATGACGGAGGGCGTTGTGGTCCGTATAAAGCATAAACTCACGATAAAATAGATAATGACACCAATGTTGGACCGCAGAAACCACTGCATAAAACTTCACATCGTACGTGCTGTAGCGAGCCCGAGGACCGGATAGCTTCTTGCTAAAAAAACAAACTGGTCGACCATCCTGGCTCAAAACGGCACCAATACCTACCTTCAATGTATCACATGAGAGCTCAAACGGCCGCGAAAATCGGGCAAAACCAAAATCGGCGCAGAAGTCAATCTGTCCTTGATAAGAGCAAAAGCAGTCTCAGCCTCCGGCGTCCACGAAAAAACCTTACCCGTGAGGCAATCTGTGATCGGGGCCATAATAGAGCTAAAATGCGAAATAAACCTGCGGTAGAAGGAGGCCAGTCCATGGAAGCTACGCGCCTCAGTGAATGAAGTCGGAGATGGCCAATCACAAATAGCTGTCACCTTGACTTCATCCACACGAATGCCTTCGCCCGAAATAAAAAAAACATAAGAAAAGAACTGAATCGGCCAAGAAAGAACACTTCCGGGGAGTCGCGAAAAAAGATTCAGCATGCAGAATAATCAACACCGAACAAACATGCTGCAAATGATCCTCAACCAAACGATTATAGGTAAGAATATCATCGAAATAAACGACGACACACTTACCTATCAACTCCCGCAGTGTCTGATTCATCACCCTTATGAAAGTACTGGGTTCATTAGACAGGCCGAACGACATGACCAGCCACTCAAATAATCCCTCCCGAATCTAAAACGCCGTCTTCCATTCATCACCCGGCCTGATTCGAATCTAATGATACCCGCTACGAAGATCCAACTTCGTGAAGACAGTCGCGTCGTGAAGCTGGTCCAACAAATCGTCTAAGCGAGGAATCAGAAATCGGTAGCGGACCGTGATCTTGTTGATGGCCCGACTATTAACGCACATGTGCCAGGAGTTGTCCTTCTTCGAAATGAGAAGGGCCATAACCGCACACGGACTCGAACTCCGACGCATCACCCCACGCTGGAGAAGTTCCTCGACCTGTCGCCGTAACTCCTCGTGCTCCCGAGGACTCATCCGATAATGGGGTCTATTTGTCAATGAGGCCCCCGGTATCAAATTGATGTGATGTTGTATGTCCCTCAAAGGCGGTAGACCCGCTGGGATCTCCTCCGAAAAAACGTCAGCAAACTCAGACAACAAGGGCCAAATGGCAGTTGTTGGTTCCCTGTCGCCACCTGTCTCGGCTCCTAACAACAACAACATGAAAGGAGCGGTGCGCATTTCCTCCTCCAAAGTCGATCGAGAGAGGAAAAGAACAGGTGACGGTGAAGACAACAGTAAAGAACGGGGTGGTCCTGGGTGTAGCACTACCTTCACTTCACCAAAAAAAAAAAAGTTGTAAGTGTTCTGCTGGCCTTCGTGTGTAGCGTCTCGGTCAAACTGCCACGGACGACCCAAAAGCAAATGACAAGCATCCATTGGCACCACATCGCACTATATCTGATCCCGATACCTCGGTCCAATAGAAAATGAAATCAACACGCGATGATCCACGATGGCCGTCGAACCTTTCTAGATCCAGGCAAGAGTGTATGGCTGAGGATGAGGTATCGTCGAAAGCCCAAGCTTGTCCACTGCCTCCTGTGCAAAGACGTTCTCACACGAACCAGAGTCATTAATAAATCAACATACGTGATCACCTACGGTGCATGTAGACTCAAAAATGTGATGGCGCTCCACCGGCTTGGTGAGGAAATCCCGAGGTGCCAAACATGAACGACGAAGAACAAGTTCCCTTCCAATATCGCCCGTGAGATGTTCTTCAACGACCTTCGGTTCTTCGTAAAAAACCGATGGTCCGACGTAAGCTCCACACGCTACAAATGCCTCGGTCTCCTCGGTGAACAAATTGCGTGAAGTAGAACCCCTAGGACACGCTGACTGCCGGTGGCCGACCTCACCGCACCCAAAGCAGCGCAGCAGGCCGGCCGCATGTTGACCCGTTGACCCACCAGCAGATGTGGTGTTGCTGCCGAGGCCCGAATTCGCAGCCCGGTTCATGCTCTGGCCCACGTTTGAAGATCCTACAGATGGACTAGGCCCAAATGAACGGCCCGCACCTGTAGTCGAAGAAACAGGACCACCTCGAAGGCCCGACAAAAAATTTGACGAAGAACGTCGGGCCTGTTGCTGTTCCACCATGACAACACGTTGATGAGCATCAGACACCGAATCCGACATAAACATGTTCAACATATCCTGAATTGACACTCGTAAACCACTAATATAACGAGAAACTAATTGAGCCGTAGTCTTTCGAACATCAATGCGAGTAAGGAGCTGATAGAATTCTTCTGTGTACTCGTCAACTGTACGCGAACCTTGCCGTAAAGTCTGAAATTTATGATAAATAAAGCTGGTATAATTAAATGGAAAATATTCGCGCTCGAGATGCTTACGAAATTTGGCCCAAGAAGTGATCTTCGGTTTACCCATGCGATGTCGCGACCCATTTAACTGTAAGAACCAGGCCGCAGCCCTACCCCGTAAATGAGTCAGGATAAGACCCACTCTCTGATCATCGGGGACCTCCTTGAAGTCGAGAATCGACTCCACAGCAGCGAGCCAATCGAGAAACTCCCCTGCATCGAGCCCGTCCCAAAAACTCCGGCACCTCCACCCAAAAGCTCGCCTCCCAGTGGTTATCGCCGCCTTCGCCGGCGCGACGATGGCCGCCATGGTCATCCCAGCCTTCGTCATCCTGGAATTCCGCACGCTTCTCGACATGGTTACCTTCTCGATGGTCCCCACAGACACCAGAGGGGTTGACGTCCGATAGGGTATCCTCGTCGTTGTCCAGACCATGCGTCGAACGTGGCGAACGGGGTCAGTGCTGCCCGAATGACCCTCTTCTGCCATGGCCTTCGCGAAACCCGCCGCGACCACCCCGGCCTGTGGTGTCGCGGTTCATCGGCTTGCCTTGCATCATAGTACGTATGGCGAGACGAATTTCGTCAATTCCATCTGAAAGACCTTCAACACGGCGATCCACTCGATCGATTTGGAACCCTAGATCATTTGTTCGACGATCCAAATCTTCAAGATGGGCATCACGTCTGTCGTTGTCATTCTTTTTTGGCAGCATCATGAATCATCCTGGTCTGCTGATACCAACTGATGTAGAGCGTGGTAGACAAAAGGGAAAAGAAGAGATGAATTCTCGTAAATTTCAATAATCTGATGAATAATAATCTCCCCAAAGAACAGATGAAGGGGAAATATAAAATCCTAACTTTCCTATTCCTACTCAACTTGCCTAACAAGATGGGCTAACTTATTATTTAATTACCAAAACCAAGGAAGTACTAAAGAAATAAAATA